GCATATTAAAGGAAATCTAAAAAAAAAAAAAAAAAAAAAAAGAGAAAAATAAAAAATTGTCAAATTAAGTAAAGAATTTATATATTCATTTAAAATTAATTATTTTATATATATTTTTATTTTCTACATTTATTAATAGAAACATATTGTATTCAAAATTGTATAGAATACAATATGAATCATAGTATTTTATCATTTGATTGTTGTTATTAAATTTTCTTGTATATTCCTGTAGTTCTCTATTTTCTAAATTGAAGTTTTGAAAAAATAAAATAAAAACAATTAATGAAAAAAAATAATTAGTATATATATTTTATATTAATTTATACTAATTATTTTTTTTTTTTTTTGTACTTTTATTTGATAAATTTGATATTAATATGTTGTCTACTGTTATTTCTTCTGATACTTTAATAATAATTTAAAAGAGAAAAGTAAATATATTGAAATTAAAAGGAGTTTTTTTTATTTTATTTAAATAAATTATATTACCTGTTTTACCATCGCTTAATTTTAAATATAAATCATAAGGAAAAATATGATAAAAATGTTCATAAATAAATATATTATACCCTTTTAAATCTGATTGAATTTCAAATAGTTTCTTATTTTCTAAATTTTTTTTATTTTTCATTATATTATTTATTACAACTGAATTTAAAAAGTCAAAATACTCAGAAGAATATGAAAATGTGTTAAAAGATTTTTCCTAAAAAAAATATATATAATATACATGTATATTTAAAATAATTTGAATTTTCTTTTTATTAATTTTTACTAAATTAGTTTTTGTTATAAAAGGTTCTTCTATCAAATGAGAGTAAGTTGAGTTAATGTGAATTATAGAATCATGATCAAGAAATATTTTCGTTACAAATAATATTAAAAAAATAAAAAAAACAAATATAATTTTTATCTTTAACATTTCTATTTTTTTTATATATTTTTTATCTTCTATATCACTTTCTTCTTTTTCTAAATCTTCACATACCTATTAATATATATAAATATATATATGTATATATATATATATATATATATATTTTGTTCTTATTTTATAATAAAGTATAAATATTTTATTATATTTTTTTTTTTTAACTATTTTATTTTTTTTATCGTTAAGGAAGAAAATATATCCTTTTATCTTGTCCCAAAGGGTACTTTTTCTCATTTTGAAATCTTTAAAATATATTTAAAAAAAAAAAAAAATTAACAAATAAAATAAATAAATGAATAAATAATAAATTAAAATAAAAATTATTTAAATATGTCTATCGTAATATTTCTATTACTGAAAATATTATGATGCTTATGTATCATTAGAAATGTAGTAGCTGTAGATATAATGATAATCATTGGTATAAAAAAGAAATTATATATTAATATAAAAAAGAAATTATAAATAAATTCATTTTTATATTTTGAATTATCTGAAAAAGTATATATTGAATTAAAATAGTTATAAAATTTTTCATCACCTAAAAAAAATTACATAAGAAAAAAAAGAATAAAATGAAATAAAGCAGAAACATATAAAAAAAAAAAATACATATAAGAAAAATTCATTTTTTACTTGAAAAGTAATTTATAAATATTAAAATTAAAAAACTACATAGAAATACTAAAAGTATATAATTATATTTTATCGTTTGTATAACTATTTTGGTTGGAAAAGTGAATATTTTACAAAATTTTGATGAGCTTTCAAATATATTTACAACTATATATAGAAAGTAAATATACATTAACAACTCTAAAATTTTCTCATGAACAGAATCATTTATAATTGAATCTAAGTAGATAAGAAAAATTTAATATTATTCTTTTAATTTTATCTTAATAATGAATTTTTTTTTTTTTTTTTTTTATTGTACTGATTAATTGTTCATATAGAATATTTAAGTTAATAACAGTCACTATACATGCATGAAATAGATTATTTTTTCTCCTATTACTAATAAAAAAAAAATACATATATATATATATTTTTAATAATAATAAAATAAGTAAAATAATTTTTTTTTTAAAATTATTTAACTCTTCTTTTCTCCATTCTTTAAATATGATTATAAATGTAAATAAATTAAATAAAACATAAAAAATCCATTCATTCCAGATATAGTAATGGGTAATACTTATTCTTGTTTGTTCTTTTAAAATATTAGAATTAAATAATTTATTAAATATTATTACATAATCTTGAAAAAGAAAATAAGAAAAATAATTTGTTTTTATAATTATATATATGTATTTTAATAAAATGGAAATCTTAAAAAATTTTTTTTTTTTTTTTTTTTTCTAAACCTATATAAGTGTTAACATTTTTATTATAAAACGATAATACAAATTTGAATTGATCCCCATTATATTTCAAATAATTTTTTTTTTCATAATTACATATGTTATTTATATTTGATAAATTATTATGAATTGTTTCTATTTCAGTAGTACTTATATAATTCCGTTGTAAAAAATAAGAAAATGTTTGATTAAAACAACTAATAGAATAATCGTTATTATAACCATAATAAATACTTATTATCTTTATATATAAAAATAAATGGATACATAGTAAAATGAAATGTATTATAAAAGAATAATCATATTTTCCTTTTTTTTTTAATATTTTATTTCTTATTTTTTCAATTTCTAGAATTTCATTATTATTTATCATTTTAGAAAAAAAGAAGAAAAAGTTAAACTATATTTAATATATATATATATATATGTATACTTTTATATATATTAAGTTTTATTAAATATTTCTTAAAAAAAATATCTTCACGTAATTATATATATATATATAACCAAAATAAATTTAAATAAAAAAAAAATTAAAAAACATTTTTTTCAAATATAGAATAGTTATGATGTTTATTAAATCTAAAAAAAATACTAATGAAATTACAAATAATTTTTAAAATTAAAATGTTATAAATTATATAAGAATCATAGTATTAGTTATTTTATTCTTATAATGTCAAAAATGTTCTCCTATTTATTATGCACATATTTGCATATGGAGAAACAGAAAAAGAAAAAATCTATAAAAAAAATAAAATGAATTAAAAATTAAGCATTTTAAAAAATTACTCTAATAACATATGAACTTTAAATTTTTTGTAAATTATTTTATTAGATATGCAAGGCAAAGGTAAAAAAAATAATAATTTATTATCTGAAAAAAAAAAAAAAAAAAAATATATATATGTATATATATGTATATGTATATATATATATATATATGTAATAAAAAATTTTACAAATATTTTTATAGACAATATAACTGTATTCTACTATTACATAATTAATAAAACGTATTTATTTTGTATATATTTAACATTTATCATATTTAAAAATATAAAGATTTCATAGATAAATATATTAATAAATATTAACAAAAAAAAAAAAAAAAAAATTATATATATTTTTTAGAATATTTAAAAAGTTTTTTTTTTTTTTTTTTTTTTTTTTTTTTTTTTATATTAATACTTTTTTTGGTAGATGGATTAAATTTAAAAATTGGGCAATAATAGACAAAATCATTATTATCATATTCATCATTATTTTTAAATAACTCAAAAAATGAATTTAAATTGTTATTTTCCAATTGAATTAATTCATTAGTAATATTATTATTCTTTTCATCATAATTATTTCCATTAACTTTTTCTAAATTTTCATTTTTTTTCTTTTTTATTTTAATCAATATATATGGTGAATTGTAATAAAAATTTTCTTGTTTTATTTTAAATTCTTCATAATTACTAGTAAAATTCATATTATTTTCATCATTTATATTTTTATTTATTATATCTTCATTATACTCATATATAGAGTTATTATCATTTTCTATATTATTTTCTTCTATTTTATTTGAATATTTAAAGTATATATAATTCTTTTTATGAATTCTACTATGATATATATTATTAGGTAATTTCACGAATTTACTTTTATATATTTTTATAGGTTCTAACCATATACCATCATCATTTCTATATAAAAGAAAAAAATACCATAATGAAAAAAAAAAAAAAAAAAAAAAATTACATTAACTATAAAGTTAGAAGAATATTAAGAGAAATTTTTTTTTTTTTTTTTTGATATGGTGCATTATAAAAAAGATATACATTTTTATTTTAAATATTTTTTTTCTTTTTTATTTTATTACGTATTAATTTCTTCAGAATATTTAAAACAAATATTTAAGTTTTCTATTTTTGTATTCATATTAATTGCACAAGTAAAAAAAAGTGAATAAAAAAATAGTAAAGGATTTCTGAATTTGGAAATATTATATAAATTATTGCCACCTCTTTGTTCTTTGTTAATAATTTCTTTAAAATATTTTAATTTTGATTCAATATTTGTTAAAAAATTTGTAAAATTTTTTTCTTTTTCACCAAAAATATTCCATTTTTTAGGTGTCTAAAAAAAAAAAAAAAAAAAAAAAATTATTTTTATGTAAATAGAAAATATATTCATATTTAAAAATATTATTAAAAAAAAAATGTTGTCAAATATTATATTTGCCTTCAATTTTAAATAAATATTTTTCATATTAAAATAATAATTATCTATTGATTTGTTTAATTTCAAGATTTTCAGGAAATATTCAATTTCCTTTTTTATTTTAGATATATAATACAACAAAGTATTATATTCTTCAGTTAAATATATCACTGTAAAAAAAAGAAGAAAAATAATATTGATATATAAACTGTTTAAAAAGATAAAATATAATAGAAATGAAATATAGATTACAAACTAAAAATATTTATTTATATAGTTTTAAAATTTTTATATAATAATATTTTGTTTAAAAAATAAAAAATTTTATTTAATTACATTTGATAGTTGCATTAATAGATGGTTTTATATAAGTGTAAGTAGAGAAAATATCAAAATATGATAACACTAATTTAAAAATTTCTATTTTTTCAAATTTGTTAATAAAGAAAGAACTAGAAATAAAAATTTTTTTTAGTGATTTAATTTGATAGTCAATCTCACATATATGATAAGTTATATTTTGTTGTGAAAATTCTTGAATTAAATGAAAATTCTTTTGAATATAATCAGTTAATTCATCTATATCATTAAGATTAATAGGTATTTTTAAGATACTATTTATATTTGACAAAGCATTTTTATTCATATGATTAGAGAAAAAATTGTGTAAAACAGAATATATCATATTTTTTATTAATAGAAACTTTTTTGAAAATAAAAATTCTAAAAATAATTTAAAATAATTATAAAAAAATTCCTTATACTTTTCTTCTTCTTTTACTTTTATCGAGTCAACTACATTGCAAAAAATATCAATTAAAAAGGTCATTTCATTAATTAAATCTAAATCTAATTGAAAATTTTCTAAATTTATCTTCTCATTTATTATAGTAAAAAATAAAATTACATAAAATATGTATTTTGAGTTAATATTGTTATCATTTACATTTTTGTAATTTAATGATTTAATGATATAATATAAGTAATTAAAATAATTGATTAAATATGAGCTGAAATCAAAATTAATTAAGATAGAATTTTTTACTATAGAAAATGTAACTGTGTTAATATCGTAATAAAATATTATGAAAATTTTGTTCAAATTATTATTTATTAAAATTTCTAATTTATAACTGTCTTCTTTATGTGTAATATCTACTACAATAATATCTGTCAATTTTATTTCAAAATCATTTTTCAAATCTAGAAAAGACACATTATTACTATTTAAAAGAATTTTTAATAATATGAAACTATATTTATTTTTTTCTACAATAATAATAATTTTTTTTTTTTCATTAAAAACTTTATTAAAATAATTATTATTATTTATTTCATCAAATAAAATGTTTTTTTTTTCTTCTATATTTTTACTCAAATCTTCTATATTGTCGTTTGTTTTATTTAAGTTTTTTGTTTCGCTTAAAAAAATAGTACTATTAATATTTTTATTTATAAAATTATAAAAGTTACAATAAATTATTTTCTTATTAACATAAAGATTTGATAATTTTATAAATATGTAATTATTAATAGAAATATCTAAATCATTTTTTTTTATAATTTTATCAATTAGTAATCTGTAATAATACAAGGAAGAATTGTTTAATTCTTTTAAGGGAAAATCATTTATATTATTACAAGTACGATCATTATTTTTTATATATTTATCCCATTCATTTTTATTATCATTTATACTTTTCAATAACCTTTTAAAAATTTTTTTTTTTGAGTTTCTTAATTCAATTAATTCTTCTGAATAATAAGTTATAGATAATTTATTGATTTTTTGACTTTCTTTTTCTAATTTATATATATCATCTTCACTGTAATTGGAGCAATAGTGAGATTCTTCACTACTTTCTGATGATTTTTCGTAAAGCAAATTTTTTAATTTCTCTCTTTTTTTATAAAGTAATTTAAAGGGTTCATCAAAATTAATTATTAATTCCTTTAAATTATTTTCATCTTTTGTTAGTTTTATTTTTTCTTTATCTTCTTTTCGATATTCTTGTACTCTTTCTTCCTCTAATTTTTTTTCTTCTTGTTTTTTTAGTCCATCTTCAACTAAATCATAATCATTATCATAAATATTATTGCCATCAAAAGAACTTTCATATATTTCACTATAATAATCTTCAATAACATTATAATAATTATTTTTTCCAATCATATTGTTACATTTTGCTTTCCCAATATATATGTTTTCTTCATCATTAAGAGGATTATGTTCATTTTGCTTTTTTTCTAAAATTTCTAATGATTTTCTAATTTTATTACTCCTTTCATTTATGAAAATGTCTTCTATTTCTTTTTCTTCATTTTCATTTTTTCTTTTTTTATTTTTAATTATTTTTTGCTTATATTTATTTTCAATTTCTTGAAGTATTTTTTTTTCATTTTTATTATTATAATTTCTAAAAAATAAAAATATGTCTTTTAGTTTTACATATTTATATAAATAAATATCTAAAAAAAGACTAAGTAAAAAATTAACAGTTAAAATATTTTTATTATCCACATATGACAATATATAAAAATAAAAAAAGTTTAAAATGTCTTTTTCTGAATCTTTCTTTTTTACATCAAATTGTTGATAAAACATTTTAACAATATTTAAAAAATATAAATTTGAGATATTATATTTTTTTTTCCATGTTTTTATAATTTGTATTAACAAATAGAATACATAGATTATAATGAAATTATTTTTTATATTTTTTTCCTCTTTAGTTTTTATATCAATATTATTTAAAATTACTCTATATTTTTCTTTTTCCTTTCTAAATTCTTCTATCATTTCTTTTTCATTAATTTTTTTATTTAAAAAATTTATTGATATATTGATAATCTAAAAGAAAAAAAGAAAAAAATAAATAAAAAAAAGTAAATATATACAGATATATTTATTCCTTTAAAAAATATTATTTTTCTTTTTACTTTTTTTTCATATGTTTCTTTTTCAACTGTTGGAAAATTACTAGTTAAATTTATATTTTTCATTTTATTATAATAATATAATAATAAATTAAGAATATTCTTTTTTTTGTAATCACAATAAATAACATGATAACTATGATAGATTTTTTCTAAATCGATTTCTTCAAAATTTTCTAAAAAAATATAAATAGTATTAATAATTTTTTTATTTAAAATTTTATATATATTTTCATCTACCCCCTTGAAAATCAAAAAAAAATTATCGTTTTTGTAACATTCTATGTCATTTAAGAATTTTCTAATTTTTCCATCTTTATTATTATAACTTTTTTCTTCCTCTTCTTCTTTTTCTTTCTCTTTTTCTTTTTCTTTCTCTTTTTCTTTTTCTTTCTCTTCTTCTTTTTCTCTCTCTTCTTCTTTTTCTTTCTTTTCTTCTTTTTCTTCTTTTTCCTCATATTCAGGATTTATATTTTCTCCAGAATGAAAAGAAGATATATTATAAAAATACTGATATTTTATATAACAATATTTTTTTTTTTCTCTTTGTAATTTTCTCAAAATGTATTTTTTTAATTGATAAAAAGAATCAACACATATTATTATTTTCTCTTTTATGTTATCTAATAAATGGCAGTTAAACATTATCATATCATCATTACACAACTTCATTTCTCCATATTTGTTTAGAAAAGGATTATCAATAAAATTTTTAAAATTTAATAAATATTTTGTATTTATATTTTTTTCTTCTTTTTTTTCTTCTTTTTCTTCTTTTTCTTTTTCTCCTTTTTCTTTTTCTTCTTCTTCTCCTTTTTCTTCTTCTTCTTTTTCTTCTCCTTTTTCTTCTTCTCCTTCTTTTCCATTCATGTATTCCGAAATGTCACATAAATTTAAATATTTCTTTCTTTCATTAATTAATAATTTTAGAAATTTTGTTTTTTCTTTATAATTGAAAGAAGAACAATAATTAAATAAAATAGATTTATAAATAAGAAATGTTTTTTTATTTTTTATATTTTTTTTGATATCCTTGTAAAATGATATTAATTCTTCCTATATAATTAGAAAAAAAAAAAAAAAAAAAAAACTTATATTACGAAGTATTCCATTTTAATACATATATATATATATATATATATATATATATATATATATATATATATATATATATATAATGATAAAATCAATATTATAAAGTAAGAAGAAATATAATTTTTTCTCAATTCTATTTATATATATTTAAATATAATACTATTATAATTATAGTAATTTTTTTAATCTTTAATTTATATAAATCTTTTTTTTTTTTTTTTTTTTTTAAATTACTAATATTGTAAGAGAATCAGGAGAAATAGCATTACTTTGTATAGTATTTATTTCATCATTTAAAGAAGATATTTCTTTTTCTAAATGAAGTATTTTTTGATATTCATTATTTAAAGAGTCTTTTTTTTTTACATATTCATTAATTGAAACAATAAAAGAATGAAGAATAAAAATGAATTTATACTTTAGAAATTTGTCTACATTAGAAATATTTTCATATTTTAAAATAATGTTTTTGCTAATATTATTTTCATCTATATTTTTAATTCTCTTTATAAAGTAAATATAATTAAATGTATTTTTTATAAAATTTTGATCATTTTTTTTATTAATATATAAATATAAAATTTTCAAAAGTCCTAAATAATTAGTTTCATTATTTTCTTTAAAATATTCAAAATCTTTTTTTGTAATTCTTTTTAAATTATCTCTTGTTTTTAAAATATCTTTCTTATATTTTATTAATTGTTCATTTATAGAGTTTTGAACTTTATTAATTTCTCTTTTAATTTTTTTTATATGTATTTTAATTTCTTTTATTCTATTAACTACATTTGAATCAAACAAATTATTTATTATTCTTTTATATTCTTCTTTTTTATATAATAATTCATCCAAATGTTCTTTTTTAAATTTATAATACATTTCGTATGTGCTTTTAATTAAGTCTGAAATGGAGTTATTATAAATTATATTTTCTATTTTAATATTTTTTTTTTTATTTTTTATTATATTATTTAAATTATTAATGACTTTTGAAAAATAAAAGGAAGTTTTCATATCAACATCATTAAAGAAAATGTTTTCTTTACACTCTGGTGGTAACATAAATGAATATGTTATCGTATTTCTAACATAATTAAAAATCGGTAATGACAAATTTAATAAGAATATATTATTATCTTGAAGATTATATAAATTTAAATAAGCAAAATAACAACTTTTAAATAAATTTTTATATTTATGGTAGTAATTATCACATAAAGAGTATAAATCATCGGTATAAAATAAGAAATGATTTTTGTCTAATAATAAAGGAATTATATAATTATCAAAATTACCCTCAATATTAATTTCTCGATGTTTAATAATATTTATAATCTCCAAATAAAATTCATTTAAAAAATCCTCATATAAAATATCTAAATTACCATTATAAATAACGTTATCAAATAAATTTAAATATTCATCATTTTCTATAATTTTAGAAAAAAAAATATTCTTATTATCATAATTTTTATGATTATTATTTTTATAATTATTATTACTTTTATCTATATTCTTATTTTCTTCATTATTGTAACTATTTTCGTTATTATTAAAATTTTCATTATTTTTATTTAATAAATGAATTGTTTTTTTATAAGTATCTTTGATCTGTTTTTTAATACATTCTAAGTCTTCTTGTAAAAAGACGCAATTATAACTTTTATATTGACAATAAATAGTAATTAGTTTTGATAATAAATCCTTTTGATGATTAATGAAAATGATATTAGTTCTGTTTATAATAAGATAATTATTAATTGTTAATATTAAATTTATTACATCTTTATAAAATATTTCTAAATTGCTATGTTCAAAAAAGGTTCTTAAATAAGATATATTTAATTTACCAGATGATTCATTATATAAATTACTTTTATTTTCAATTATAATATCCATGTTTGAATTTAAAAATAAGTCGTCATTTTTATAAATCATATATTTATTAAAGAATTTATCAAAATTATTTTTAATAATTTCCATACAACTTATTCTATCCTTATAAGAAATAATATGCTGACAAAAAATTCTATAAAAATCATTTTGAAATAATATTAAAATATCATTAATGCTATTACTACATTCTTTATCATATAGTAATAAATAATTTATTATGTTATTAATTTTATTTGTGTAAAAATAAAATTTATTTTTTTCTTTTATCTTTATTATTCCTTCGAATATATCTAAAATACAATTAATAAAATTATTGCATTCATTAATTATTTCATCACAAAAATTCTGTAAAAGAATCAACAAATAAAGATTGTATATTTATGTTGTAATATATATAATATATTTATACATTTATTAAATTTATATAAATAATTTAAAATAAATATTCTAATATATTTTTTTTTTTTTTTTGGTTACATATTTTTGAAATAAGGATTCTATAATATTAGAATAAAGATATTTTATATCTTTTATTGTTAAGATAGAAAGATTAAAAATAAAAAAATTTTTATACAATTTAGAAAAACTATTATTATTATTATTTTCTGTGATTGTAATATTTTCATTATTTAATGAACAAATTATTTTCTTGTTGGATAATATTATTTTTTTATTAGATTCAATATCAAAAAAATCCTATAAAAAAAAAAAAAAAAAAAAAATATACACACATATATATATATATATATATATATATATATATATATAATTTATGTTAGGTAGAAAGATTTATATATTTTTTTTTTTATTAATTTTTTTTTTCTCTTAATTACATTATATTTTATTAAATTATATAAAAATTCCATAGTATTTAATGAATTTTCATTTTTTAGGCAATTTATATCATCTATAAAAATTGTCAATTCGTCTGATATACAATTATTAGAAAAATCAAATTTTTTTTTTAATTTTTGAATTATCTGATTGTAATTAAATGAATAATTAAAACAAAACATAAAATTATAAATACTATTTTTCTTTTTTTTATATGAATTTAAATAACTGTAGGTGCATAATGATTTTGCAGAATTTGAACAACCCATTATTATAAAAGGCATATTTAAATTACAAGACATTTTCAAAAAATTTTTTATAGATAATAAATGTATATCTTCAAAAATGAAATAATTATTATTAGCTATTAATAGATTATTTATTAATTTTTTTTTATCAATCATTATACACTCATTTTTATATATTTTTTCTTGTTTTAAAATTTTATTAGTCTCAATATTATAATAAATATGCACAAAGGAGGTATTTCGTGGAATAATTGATATATTATTAATATATTTAAAAATATAATTTTCAAAATCATTTCTTAATTTGTTACTCATAAAAGAAGTAAATGAATATATAAAACTAATAGTTATGATATTATTTAAATGGTTATCAATTATTTTTTTATCAAATCCTTTTTTCTCTTTTAATAAAATTAAAAAGTACTCAATAAATTTAACAAAATTCAATATTAAAGTATTTATATGAATTTTTATAGGTATATTATTATCTTGATAAAATTCAATAATATCTTCACTGAAGAGTTTAGATTCTTCTTCTTTTTCTTCTTCTTTTTCTTCTTCTTCTTCATTCTTATTATCTTTACTTTCTTCATTTTCATCTATATTTCTAAAACCTTCTTCTTCATATATACTTTGTCTTTTATATTCATAATTTCTTTTATTTTCATATTTTTTATCACTATTTTTTTTTTCTTCATTTTGTTCTCTATAATTATCATTTGATTTTTTTTCGTTTTTAAAATCATCAACAACAAGTATACTTTTCTTTTCCTTATTAATATTATTGAAGTAGTCACCTTTATTTGAATCACCTTCTTCTATATTATCTTCTCTCTTAATTTCTTCTTTTTCGTAAAAGTTTTTTTTATTTTTAATGGTTCGAATGGTTTTATTTTGTTTTCTAAAAAAATTTAGCGTTTCAATTATAAGGTCTTCAAATAATTTTATAATTTTTTTTTTTACAAATTTATATATTTTTATTTGATCAACTAAATATATAATAAAAGATATATAAGGAATTGTATGACTTATATTTATGTAGTGGAATTTATCAATAATATAAGGAGAAATTTTATTTAAGTTATCTGGTTTAAAAATAAAACAGTTATAATTAAAACCATTATCTTTCCTATTTATTTCACTAAATAAATTATTTTTTAAAATATAATTACACATCTTTTCTATTAAATCTGTTTCTCTTACATTTATAAATTTTAATAATAAATTTTTATTTTTGTATATATAATTTTCTTCATTTTTATTTAAATTTAATTTTATATATTTTAAATCATTAATATAATTTTTTTTTGTCTTACTGTCATATAATTTAGCTTTTTTTTTTTCTTTTTCTACTTTCATATTTTTTTTATTTATCATATCATTTTGTAAATTTTTCTCATTTGTATTTTCCATTATGAAACTATCTTTTGTTTCAATTTCTTCATTTTGCTCTTGTTCTAAAGTAAAATAATTTTTTTCGTTAAATACAAATTTTAAAACATCTTTTTTCATACAATAATTTAAATTAATTCTTTCAATAAAACATAAATCAAAAGAAGAAAATTCAGTTTTTTCTAAATTTTTTAAAATATTATATAAAAGGAAAATAATAGTATTAATTCCAGAATAATTCTTTCCTATTATTAATATATTTTTGATTTTTTTTTCTTCATTATCATTATAAGTATTTCCATTTTTGTTCTTAAAATTTAATATTTTATATATTTCAATAGCTTTATTTACTTGATATTTTAGAAAATTCAATTTTGTTTCTTTTGTCAAATGAGTTACAATTTTATTAACATTACTTTTGAAATTTTTTTCATCTTTTAATTTTAGTGAATTATTATCAATTTCAGAATAGTGTTCTTTTTCTTTTTCTTTTTTGTCTAAAAATTTCTTCAACTTTATTTGAGAATCTTTTGACAAATTAAATAATAAACAAATGTTGTTAATTAATTCTACCAATTTATTAATATCTACGAAGTTTGATACATATTTTATTATTTTTTTTGAAATGTTAAGCTCTTCTTCATTTTTATTTTTTTTTAAAGTTGATTTTATAATATTAATAAACTTTTTTTCATTTATGCATCCTTTTAATATGTTCTAAAAAAAAAAAAAAAAAAAAAAATAGAAATTTTTT